AGGGATCAGTACTGACAGGGCCATCCAGTGCGTACTCGTAGGAATTGCACTTTAGGACTTAACCGATCTAAGAGCTTACCAGAGAGTGGGAAGAGGTCCTGCACTCCCACCCCCTAAACGCTCTCAGCTGCACATTGTGGCTCCATCACAAACTCTGCATCAGCTCTGGTGGAAACAGGGTCTTCACTGAGCCAACTCAGCTCACTAATCGGGTTGCTAAAGCAAACAGTCTTCTGCTCAGTGAATTAAACTGGCTAAATATAGGGCGGCTAGAAGACCAGCACGTAGAGAGGAGTGATTGCAGCACCTCATTTCAGTAGCAATAAATCATCAGACCAATAACAGAAAGTTAACACTGAACTTTGGGGGAAAAACTCTTTGACATATACATTTGAACAACTCATGTAAAGATTATTCAGAAATCACAAAATTCATCACTATAAAGAGAAGAAAACATCCCAAAGGAAAATAAAAAAATAAATAAATAAATCTTAGAAAATCTAAAGATTCCAAACAAATTGAGCAATGAGGCTTCTGAGAGATTAAATGGCATATGGTTCACTAGTTATGGCAAAAGCACATGAAATAACTGTGATAAGAAGTTTCCTAATAATAGTGTTTGTACTTCACATATTTCAAAAGTCATGTCATATTTACCCATCCTAGTGGGTTACACTAAACAATAGCTAAGAAGCTCCACTTTTACAAAAGATGCCCTGGAGAAGGAAGAAAGCTGGATCTCACAATTTTAGCGCTTCTTTCGCACCTAAAAGAGTGGAGTGAAAATCTCAACAGGTACAGACTTCTGCTAGAACTTCTCAGACCCAGGGAAACTTGAAAATAGCCATGTCTGGCACAGGGTTCACACACAGTTGCTCCATGAGAACCTCACTGGCAACAGCACATGTCTTTGACCACCTTACCTCATGTAAACAGAGAAGCAAAGAAGCTAAGGAAGAAATTGAGATGCACAAATATTTCCACTCATTTGGATTTTTTTTTTCCCCTTACAGTAATAATGAAATCATAAAAGTGCATCTGGAAGAAAAGTAGTAACTTGCAATTTGGCATACAAGTCTTATTTACAGTGTGAAGCATTATTTGCTATTCCCACTGTTTGGCAAGACTAGGTAGATGGTTAATTTAAGGCTTTAACATTCATAGGATTTCTCTCTCTCCATCAGGTTTTCTAAAGACAATGAGATTAACATACCTGAAAAAAAAAATATACATAGTGCTCGTACAGCAGGAGACTACTAATTCAGAAGACAATGGCTTTTAGGTACTCTATTATTTATGATCTCAGCGTGCATAAAACCATAAAAGTGATTAATTCTCATTTGGTGAGCGGGCTAAGGAAAAGGTCAAAGAAAAAATTATTTATATTAAAAAAAAAAAAAGGGGGGGGGGACTTTTCCTTCTGAAACTAAGCAATACTAAATTATTTTCAGAGGCAATAAAAACTATGTATTTAATTTCTGAGTGCTTTTTTAATCTTTAAAAGTGCTTAGCTCACTAGAAAGATATATCCTTATTCAAGGATGACGATTAAAAATTTATTTGGAATGCAACCAACCACAGTGAATTAAAAAACAAATCACAAGACTTTGCTACAAATAGCGTTACCAATATATGTTTAGATTGGAAATAAAAGCTCAAATCTAGGAACAAGTACCAATTCTTACTATTACGTCTAACCAGATAACAAAAAAGTTCTCTTACCGTAACGCAGAGTAGACTCCCAAAGATAAGAAAGAATAGTCGGGATCATAGTACAGATAGACAGATGACACACAGTAGGGCAAAATATCGATTACACCAACAGCAATTATCTTCCCATCCAGCCAGTACTGTTGGTGGAAGGACCCATAGCCACATTCGGGCCCATTCGGTGCATTCTCTGCCTGAGCAAAAACAAAAGAGGGATGTCATTGTCTCACCAGTAGATTTTCAGCATAAAAACAATTTGGAAAGAAGTTTCACACGATAGTGAACACTGTGAGAAATTACTGCTGCTACCCATGTTTAGAAACAGGGAAAAAGGAATCTGAGAGGCAGGGAAAACAACGTTCGCTCCCTGTTATCATCCGTGACCGTCGCTGTACTCGTGACAACTCCACATACCGGGCACACCAAACATGAATCTGCACGCAGCCTCTGCCACCGAGCATTTACAACACCAACAGGATAAAACAATGCGATTCATCAAGCTATTAATGCTTTACGACACACAAGCAAATTCTGTAGATACTCTTTGACCTGTTCGCTCTCCACTCGGAGATGAAGTGAAAAGGCAGAAAGGTAAAATGTGGATATTTCATGGCACTGGTGCTTCCTAGAGTGGGCTACGAGCACCTTGTTCCTCCAATGCTTTCTGTCATGGCAAGGACCCTGCTGTAGCTCTCTCCCACACCCTCACGTACTGGAAGCGCTCTGGCCACAGAAATTCAGCTTCTCAGAATGGCCATTAAAGTTGCTTGAGGAGAACATCTATGAAAAGGACCGAATGGCTGACCCTTTATGCGAGGTTTACTCTTTATGAGGTTTACTCTTAATGAATCATAGAATGTCGGGAGTTGGAAGGGACCTCTAGAGATCATCCAGTCCAATCCCCCTCCCAGAGCAGGATCATCCAGAGTAGGTCACACAGGAACACGTCCAGGCGGATTTTGAATGTCTCCAGAGAAGGAGACTCCACACCCTGTGCCAAGGCTCCGGCAGTCTCACAGTAAAGAAGTTTCTCCTCCTCATGTTGAGGTGGAACTTCCTATGTTCCAACTTAAACCCCTTATTCCTTGTTCTGTTGCTGGGCACCACTGAGAAGAGATTGTCCCCTTTCCCTTGACACCCACCCCTCAGATATTTTGATACGTTAATAAAGTCCCCTCTCAGCCATCTCCGCTCAAGGCTGAACAGCCCCAGTTCTCTTGGTCTCTCTTTACAGAAGAGATGTTCAAGTCCCTTGATCACCCTCGTAGCTCTCCGTTGGACTCTCTCCAGTAGGTTCCTGTCTCTCTTGAACTCAGGAGCCCAAAACTGGACACAGGATTCCAGGTGTGGTCTCACCAGGGCAGAGCAGAGGGGGAGGAGAACCTCCCTAGACCTGCTGGACACACTCTTCTTAATGCACCCCTTAATGCACAAGGGCACGTTGCTGTCCCAGGGAGAACTCACTGTTCACTAGAACTCCAAGGTCTTTCTCCATGGGGTTGCCTTCCAGCAGGACATCCTCTGATCTGTGCTGGCGCCTGGTGTTACTCCTCCCCAGATGTAGGACTCTACAAGTGTCCTTATTGAACCTCATGAGGTTCCCCTTTGCCCAGCTCTCCAGCCTGTCCAGGTCTCGTTGGACGGCAGGACAGCCCTCCTGCGTGTCAGCCACCCCTCCCAGTTTCATATCACCAGCAAACTTGCTGAGGGTGCACTCTATCCTCTCGTCCAGGTCATTGATGAAGATACTGAACAAAACTGCACCCAGCACTGATCCCGGTGAACACCCCTGGCCCCAGGCCTCCAACTTGACTCTGTGCCGCTGATCACAACTCTCTGAACTCTGTTGCCGAGCCAGTTTGCAATCCACCTCACGGTCCAAATATCTATCCCATATTTCTTGAGTTTACCTACAAGATTATTAAGGAGGGCAGTATCAAAAGCTTTACTGAAGTCAAGGTATATGACATCCACTGCTCTCCCTTCATCAACCCTTTGGTGACATCCTTGTACAAGGATATCAGATTAGTCAGGCAAGATTTCCCCTTGCTAAATCCATAACCAGCAGAACACCTTTCATCTAAGAACCTGAAACTCTGTGTTGCAACAAAATCTGTGGAACAGCTTCTGTGTCAGCCCACATTAGAGAGCATATCTTCTGCAAAAGCACTGAGGAACTCGCTGGTGTTGTGCGCCGCGGTTTTGGACGTGCTGTCAAGTATGTCTCTGGACGGGGTAAAGCCCCTACAGCCAGGAACTGATGCTTCAAATGAAGAAGAAAATGATCTCCTAATTTAAACTATATTACACAATCAACTTGGGCATGTCATTTTCTCCCACGTCAAGTTTACTTTAATCCTGAATTCCACTGTGCTCAACTTAATTATCCATCTAGTCCTGTTTTTCACTGCATCGCCAGATCTTCAGAAAGCTGCTTCTCACTCAATAAATCTGACAATACTGCCTGCTATTACCAACTGTTTTGCATTACAACAACAAAAGGTGGGTTTAATCAAGTATTTTGATACAGTAGCACAGACTGAAGGGACGATGGGCAGTCAAAGTTATTCTAATTGGTACCACATGTGTCAAAAGAAATCAGTCACGTGAACAAAAATAATTTCAACTGACTTACCCAACCAATAAGTCCCCAAACAAAGGCCACGCAATAAAACGTTTGCATTTTTATATAGGTACATAGCGTAAAACTAGATATGGAGCTACAGATACTCTAAAAGTGAAAGGATCAAACATTTGAGAGCTCATTCTGCAGTACACAAGTATATTAGACTGGGATTCTAACATATTAAACTTGTTTTTTTCTCATTCAGGTAAAGCCTACTTATTCCACTGTTACGGTTTTTTACAATATCCTCAACTTTTCAGTCAAGCCAAATGAAATCACATGATCAGTAGCAAAACTTTTAAGCTGGGACACAGTCAAGTGAGGGAATTTCTCAGAGGACTTCTCAGCACAAGTTCAGTTCTCAGCTACCAGCTTGCAGCTGGTGACAGAAAAAAATGAAACATCTCCTGCAAGCCAAGTAGAAATGTGATTGGTAATACAACACAGACTTGTTTAAGTAGTTTCAGTTAAAATAGAATTTCTTTCTTTGTCAAAAACTCATCATACAGGATTTAATGAATGTTAAAAAAGATACCCTAAACCAACATGAAAAAGATTTTCATTCAAAGCAAGGTCTTCTGCAGTTAAACAAATATTGTGTCTCTGTGTGACCTCAAACCTCCACACAGCATCACCCGAGTTCAGTCACCGGACCTCTGCAGGCTGAAGGATTAGCATCAGTAAAGAACAACTTTACAGTCAACTGAAGCAAAACCTGTAGTTATTTCACTAATGGAATTACAATGAAACACAATGAATATAAAAAAGACTACTCTCTGTAACACACATCATAGGCACAGCACCAATATCAAGCTAAATGCTCAGGGATCTCCATTACACTAAGTAAATAACTTTTTTTTTTTAAAGAGTCGCATTCTCCTCCTCCTGTGGAAGTTTTCGTACAATGTAATCCTTTGTAAAGCTTGAAAGTATTATGTTGTCTAAAATTTCTCAACGAATACTTGGCTCCTTTAACTTGATTTCTCATACACCATCCAGGCAATTTGACGTGAAACGGGTTTAGAAGGTGAAGTGTTTTCCTGAAGCAGGTTATATCATTTCACACTACTGAAAGGTCCACCTGGCACCATGTTAGTCAAAGGTGATGTAAAATATACCAGTGGCATCATGTGAGCAAGCCCCTCCAGAAAGGGCTTACCTTATCTACCCCAAATTATTCCTTAGCCCTGGAATCAATCGGGGGGATAAATTTATCTATAATAATCAATTTCTACTCAAACTTCAATACAAGTAATTATTATAACCTGATTATACTAAAAACAGTTTAAAAAACCAAAAAAATCCCCAAAACACTAAATCGAGGACAAAAGCAAAACCCATTTTCTCTCCAATGTTTAGACTATAATGCAGATAAAAAAATATTATATTTTCCTACACATGTTAATTCTATCTGTCTTCATACTCTGCTAGCCAATGATTCCATGAACACATCTGTTTGCTCATATAACCCATTATTAAAATTTAAATATTTAACAGCAATTAGTATGACATACTGCCCTAATTAGTACACCTCAATGTAATAACTGCTTATAATTGAATTTCAATGATGGTGGGAGCACTCAATCTTCTTCAAAGCACATTGGTCTTGACTTTTAAGAGATGTTTTACTACTTCACCATTGTCATTATTACTGAAATTGCACTTGTTAACCCACACAGCAGACCACTGTGCAACCGCAGAAGGTGCTGCATATTCACTTCCCAAAACTGGGTCCTGATTGCACTGACTGCAGAATTATTTTCCTCTGGAAGGTTTCATGAAACTTCCTATTTTGAAACTTTCCATTTTACCCTCTGTTGTAGATGGAGGAAGGAGGAAGATATGAAATCCATGCTATCCCTTCACACAAACATGAAAAAGAAAAAAAATACGCCAGGAAAACCCTTGACTTCTACATTCCATTTGAAATTATTTGCCGAGTAAGTGGAGTGATTAATTCCAGCAGCTCCTTTCCCAAAGGCACATGCACACACAACCTACCATATGGCAGATTTCTATCGCTTGGTTAGCAATATATTTCCTTTTCAGTACTATGTCCTCCTTTCATTAAAGATTAGTGGAGATGCTGTGAAAACAGCCTACAAATACAGGCTGTGTCAGCAGAGAAGTAGCGCTGCATGCTTTCATTTAAAAAAAAATAAAGCCAGCAATGCACACTTGCAGAAAAAACAACTCTCCAGCCTCCAGAACAGATGACATGGGGAGGTTCTGTCAATGTGTATAAACACCTGATGGAAGGGAATGAAGATAAGGGAGCCAGATTGTCCACAGCAGTTCCCACTGGCAGGACGAGAGGCAACATGTGCAATTTAAAACACATGAAATTCAATCTGAACAGAAGGAAACAGGTTTTAACTGAGAAGGTGGTCAAGCAATGGCACAGGTTCACCCATCAAGAGTTGTCCAGGCCTGTGGAGTCTCCAGACTTGGAGATATTCAAAACTCACGGTCCTGGAGAACCTGCTCTACCCAACCTGCTCGAGCAAGAGGGTTGGATGAGGTGATCTCAAGAGGTCCTGTCCAACCTGAAGAGCTCTGTGATTCCGTATCAAAACGGAGTAAATGAGCTCACTGTACCCAAATGCAAGGCGCTGTCTACAAAGCTAAACTTCTGTACTTTATTCGAGCTGTACTGTCAACTATTTAATCAGGACAGAGACAGTAAGTTTAAAATGCTAAACAGATTAGTGAAGCTGTAAAGGTACAAGGGACCTCAGCAGAAAGAGACTTAGAATATCATTGTGTAGATATCCTGGTGACGTCCACATCGCTACAAGGGGAAAAACAACCAAAAGGCCAGCAAATGGCCAAGGTCCGTAAACAAAATATGTTTCGATTTAGCCCTGAGCAGTGCATTGCATGTAACTAAAATACGACATTCCACAGAAGGTGATCTTGGGAATTACAGACCTGTAATAGTACCTTTTGTTATTAAGATCTCCTAAAAACCAACACACACCAACAAACAGAATAATGCAGGACAGAAGCTGGTGTGCTTTTCATAGAGCAAATATTCAGATTCACAAATGTCTTTCAGTTCTGTAGAATTCAAAAGCATCTCAGTATGGACAATAGGAAACAAAGAGAGAAAAAACAATCATTTACAAACGATCCCGCTTTCCACTGCGCTGGATCTATATTGTTCTCTATATCGGCAGGTGACTCACTGAAGACTCAACGACGTTGCAAAGCGTGTTGCAAAGATGATTTAAAAGTATTCAAGATGGTTGAGTGTAAACAACTATGCAGAGAGCCCATAATATCAAGAGATAAAGAGGCAGAGGATATATCAAATGTTCATAAAACCATGGAATATAAAGGCATGGAACATAAATATATGGGGGAAAAATATTGCTACATATGCATCCAAACTAACGGGTATAAATTAGCAATTCTGTCAAAAAGAAAGAGCAAGTTTATGAAATCATCTATTTAATGCTTAGCTTCAGTCGAGATAGAAAAAAACTACAGAGCAATTACAACAAGGACTGGAAAACAAAACCAAATGATTGTTCACCCGCGTAACACCACAGCACACCAGGGTGCTGAGCCTCATCTCACCTGCTCTATAAAGACAACACAGAACAACTCAAAGGACAAACGTAGAGATGATTAAGTGACACCGAGACAACCACCGGCCCAGAACCATCCCCCAGACTCACTGAGTACCAAAAAACTAGGAATCACTCGGAGCAATGTGGAATTTGCCTGTGCCCTTCGTCCACAAATGCTCTCACCCAGGCACCAGCAGGGTCCAGGGCACGTTGGGTTTGGCTAAAGCTCCTGCCCACTGCTCTCCTGCACTGAACCGTCACACCCACACCTCTCCAAACAAGGGAGTATTTCCACATGTGAAATGTCAAAACACGAAAATTTTAAACGCAGCTTCTAAGAAAAGGGATGAATCAAAACCAACCAAACAAAAAACCACAACAAAACCAACAGGTCTCTCCAGATTATCATCTTTACTGCTATAAAATTGCCTAGTTTTCTGCTATTACATACTGTATCTTTTTTTTCAAAACTATTCATTTTTTGTGCCAGAGCCCACAGCCAAAACAGAATCTACACAGAATAATAAATTGAGGAAATAAAAAAAAGACAGGAAGAGTTTGGGTGTTCAAACTATTTGCAGCTAATAACAATTCAAAAAAATTACAAATAGAAATCATGTAAGGTTTAAATTTTATATAAAATTATTTTTGTTCAAGAGAGTAAACAGGCTCCACACTACTAGATTTGCTTGTAGCAACTGTTTCAGAAATGAAGAATTTCAAGAATCTCTTGGCCTCTGATATACAACCCCTTTTATTTAACTTCATCTAATTGAAGACATCTGTAGTGGTGCCACACAAAATTTAATTCAAACTTCGAAATGTCAATAAAAAGTGTCTGTAAGAAACAATACTGGTATAAACCTGCCAGGGAGCTGTGCATCAGCATCTACGTAGCCATGCGAAATTAAGAATATAATGGCAGTCTGCTGCCTCAGTTGATGAGGTGATAAAAGCCCTTTTCCTATAAAGTCTAATGAGCTCTATTACTCTTCAGCTTTCAGGAATGTAAAGGCCAGTGGACTCAGCAGAGAAAAAGCAACAAACTCTCCACACATGGATTCATTCAAACTGCAACATATCAAATTACCAGCATAATTACTATAACCTGACAATTTCATTACAGTCAGGCAGTACTTAACTCTTTAAGACTAACAAGAAAGCACGAGGAATCTGCAGCACTTGGAACGAAGCAATAGCATCTCTCCTAAACTTTTAGCTCAGGCTGCAGTCAAATGTGAGTTTAGCACATTATTTTTTTCACGGAAATAAATAATCAAGAACAGGCTGCCCAGGGAAGTGGTGGAGTCGCCACTCCTGGAAGTGCCCAAAAACCGTGCAGGTGTGGCACTTCAGGACGTGGTTAGTGGTCATGGTAGTGTTGGGCAGACAGTTGGACTAGATGATCTTAGAGGTCTTTTCCAACCTTAATGATTTTACGATTCAGAGATGCAGCACTTCCTACTACTGACTCTTATGGCAGCAATATGAAAGAGCAACAAAGCTGGTGAGGGGCCTACAGGATGTCTTATGAGGAGCAGCTGAAGGAGCTGGGATTGTTTAGCCTGGAGAAGAGGATGATGAGGGGAAACCTCATTGCCCTCTACAACTACCTGAAAGGACGTCGTAGTGAGGTGGGATTTGATCTCTTCTCCAAGTTACTAACAACAGGACAGGAGGAAATGGCTTTAAGTTGCACCAGGGGAGGTTTAGATTAGATATTAGGGAAAATTTCTTTACTGAAAAGGTGGTGAGGCACTGGAACAGGCTGCCCAGGGATGTGGTGAGGTCACCATCTCTGGAGGTATTAAAAAAATGTGTAGATGTGGCACTGCAGGATATAGTTTAGTGGTCATGGTAGCATTGGGTTGTCAGTTGATCTTAGAGGTCTCTTCCAACTTTAACAATTCTATGAAACCGAGTGGTAGCTTTATTATCCAGCTAATTATGTAGAAAAGGAGTCCTCAGACTCCTCTGGAAACCCAGTGCTGTCTTCCTTACCAGCCAGTGAGGACAGAAACCCTGCGACATCCATCTCTACCACCTATGCCATAATGGTTTGCTGGCTACAGAGAACAGAGAGGAAAAAAACATCTTGAGCTCAAACCTTGTCTCTAGAAGGAATACCTACCTCCAGCGGAGAATCGCAGAGGAATCGTGTGAACTGCATCGAGGTAGATTCATCAAAAACGCGTGCCCAAGAAGACAGGCCAAATATGGAAAGCATAAAAAGAAGACAAATATTAGCAGTATTTCAGGATACATTAACAGCGCAATACACTCT